ATCCGAACCCTCGGCGGGAGCGCCACCGTGCTCCCAAGCAGCGCACTCTCCAGTGCGCCACTGGGCCGGCCCGATAATAGCTATTCTAACTGGAGTGAAAAGATAGCTTAACGTGGTTTTGATTTGCATTTCTCTGATGATTAGTGATGTTGAGCATTTTTTTCATGTACCAGTTGGTCATTTGTATGTCTTCTTTTGAGAAATGTTCCATTTAGCTCCTTTGTTTGCCACTTGAGATGTATGCTTTTTCTATCATGCCTGGCATTTACTAGTTTACCTGGTTAGTTATTATGTGTATAAGTTATGGCTCTAGTAAGAATGATTCCTCGGTGGCTTTTTTTAAGACTTCATGCCTTTTTCATCATAGGGCTTACACTTCTCCCCTGCTTGACAAATAAATGGAGCAATATGGCAGTATGGAATCTTCCTAGTAAGGACAAGTGAGGGAGGGCAGAGCCCTGCCAGGACGAAGCCCCTGCTGTGGCTGGGCAGGTGAAGCTCCGGGCCGCCTAGAGGCCCTTCCCACTCTGGACTTGCCTCTTTCCAAAAAAGACCTGAGCTTTTCTGGGAGCCTGGCTTAGAGTGAAATAATATGTGTGCTATCTTTAAATGCCTGTAGGGCATCGAGTGGTTCAAAACTTGGTCCTTCAACCCTCAGTCTCCACTTCTTTTATTCCCCAGCAGCTCACGGATCGGCCCACTTCTGCAAAGCAAGGTGGGACATTCCTGAGTGGTTGGACAGGTAGGTGGTGGCCACTAGTGTGGGACACTCTTCTTTCTTCTGTACCTGGAGAAACACATGCACATAGATCATCTCACCGCCCTCTCTGAGTGCCAGGTGACCAACTTGACCCAAGTTCAGGTGTCTGACAAAGGCACTCTTGATTGTTGCTACAAATGGATAGCAGCCCTAAATCTTTTAAATTGCAGTAACAGCAAGGGAAGAATTCCAAGCAATTAGAGAATACTCAGGTTTTGGTCTAAGTCAGCTGAGTGGATTGCAGGGGAAATTATACACTGCTACTTTCTGTGCCCATAAAAACAGAATTCTTAGTAATACTTGTTTGCGTTCCAGGGCTTATCACCTTAATTCCACAGATCAGAATATTCAGGAGCAAGAAGGCATCAAGGGGATAATTGTCCTAATTCAGGAGTATTGTCACTTAAAATGCTAATTACTTTTCTTTTATTCTTAAAGTTAGGAAAGTCTAGAAAATGCATATCTTTGCTAAAATGAGATGACTCTCCATGAAGAATCTAAAGGACATTTATCTTTCTTCATCTGGCAACTACTCCAAATTTCATCCAGGTGCATGGGAAGAAAGCATGTACTATCAAAAGAAAAATCTGAGATGTCGAATGAATGATTATTGAAGTGAGATCTGTCTTCAGTTTGTTTACTCTCGATTTTCCTAATTTTGGAAGGAGGCCCAGGACTGTGTACACCATAGAGCTGTGGTGTTCTGGAGTTCTCAGAATGTAAATGCCCTGAAGGTGAATTCTTATGTGTGACTCACAAATAATTATCCTCCTGTGAGTTGGTATTATTCTATTTGAGAAAAATTCCTATTTTTTTTTTAAACAGCAGAAGAGTATTGATCGGGATCTATAAAAAGGATGAAGCAGACGGGTGTTTATGTTTCAATTGTGGAGCATGTGCCGCTTTTGTCTGCTGTGTCTTGTGGGCTCTGTGTCTGGGTACACACTGATGTGTGCACACACATATCCCAGTGGTGTTTTCTTTGTATTGTTCAGTTTCCAAGTTTCTTTCTCGTTTCGGCAAATGTTGTTATTATAATTGTTTTAGACATGTCTGGAGCTCTCCAGCTGCAGGCTCTGAGCTGCTTGTTCTGACTTAGATCTCAGGATGTCCAGAGGGTTGTCAGGGATTTATTTGTTCTGCCTCAAATTCTGACAATAACCTTCCCACCCCACCCTCTCTTCCAAGGGACATGGGAAATATCTGCGGGTTCTGTGGATTTTTGTTGGAAGCACAGAAGGAAACTATTTTCCTAAACCTAATAAAGAAAAGATGGTCTCAAATCAGACCAGATTCCAGATATAGGAGCTGAAGATGCACAAGGGAAAGCTGGAAAGAGCGTCTTCAAAGATATGGGTGAGCTGATGAAAGACTAGTCTGGAACCGCCCTATTTCCTGACTCTTTGCTATTGTTATGTGAGATCATGAATTTCCTACGGTGTAAGCCGTTTGGGGGTCAGGCTTCTGTGAGTTGCACTGCGCTCCCACACAGTAAGCAGAAGGTCCTTCTGGTGGTGTAGGGGTCCTGAGACCAGAAGAGAGCTGCTCCTATCTGTCCTCATAGAACACACGGGTGATGGCCTGAGCAATTACCGATAATCATTTCTTCTTTGAAAAGTTTCCAAAGGAGGGACAAATATGCATTTTTGACCAAAGATTTTTTTTCAAGTATAAAATGGGGAACAAAGAAATGTATTGCTGTTAAGGGCATCCCCCTCGTCACAGCTGCCCAGAGGTGGCCCAGGTCCCCCCCTGATTCATTATGAGGAAGACCCATGGAGGGCGACATGTTTTTCACTTGCCTCCTGTCTGTCACTGATGGGTAGGTCACCTGGGCAATCTCACAGGGCCCCACACTTGGCTTCATGCTCTGCTGTCACCTTTTTGAAATTCTTATTAATTTAGGAACAAGGGAGCCCACATTTTCATTTCGCATTGGGTCCTGCAAATTACACCACGGGCCCTACTCCCACCTGCCTCTAAAGCACAGCTGCAGTGCCCTCTCTGAACAGGGGAGAGTGGTGGCCAGCCCCTTCACAAGCATCTCTCCTGCATGTGATCTCGCTCTCCTTTTCAAGATAGGATGGGTAATGAGTGTTTCCTTGGTCTAGTTTTACTGTTTTCTTTCCTGTGAAAAAGCGAGGACTCGAGGTATCATTTCAATGCCTGGTCCCAGAACATCATTCGTTTTGGAAGGCGACAGACAAAGTGATGAATAGGCAGTGGGGTAGGGGACACTCATAGGAGTATGAAGTGTCTTCTCAGCATAATTAGGTTTAGAACTTAGTGCTCCCTTAGAAGGAGAGGTTGGGCCTGAGTGCAGCAAGAGAATTCAAATTTCATCTGAATAATGTTAAATCTCCTTCTTAGCATCCTGCTTATGCTGATCTTTTCAGGACTTAATGATGTTTATTAGGACTTCCATTTCCTCTTCTTCAGAAATGTGCTCAGCTAATGAAGAAAGGGCAGTTTTATTCAGAAAGAGAAAGATTCATAAGAAGTGTGTGCGGCAGGTTCCTGTTCTGAGTGTTGCAGGTTTAGCGTCTCACTGAGTGATGTCACATGCACCGGGAACCACGTGTGACACATCCACTGATTTAGGGCAGAGGAAGAAACACAGACAAACAAGCGAGACTCCTTGCACACACTACTATATCTGAGCACAAATGCTTCATCACTGGAGGCTGAACTTCCTCGTCTCACCCACAGCAGCTGCGAGGGCTAACAGGGATGCTGCATGGTGCTGCATCACATGTGGATGGCTCTGCACTGGGGAGCACAGAAGGTGACACGCTGGTGATGCTTCAGGGCTCTGTGGGGCTGGGTTCAATTATTTGCCATGGGTGCTTATGTTTGAGGTGGATGCTTAGCGTGAGGAGAAGGGGTTTGGCTCATCGCAGAAAGCCTCCTTCCCGAAGATTCTGAAGGCCAAAGACTTGGGAGAGTATCAGATGGTGGTTCCCAGTCAAGTGTGTTCCAGAGGAAGGATATTTGGAGATGTTCTGGTCTTCTGTGACTCTAGGCAGGTCAGAAGCACTGTGCGGACCTAAATCTCTTTAGTTCCAATGAGGTGCTGTTGGTGAAGAAAGAACATTCATCCGGTGTTTCTATCCTTCCCTTTACTCTTGCTTCCCTCTCTTTTCTGATTCATTAGCTTTTACTCACTCTTGTTTGCTCTTAAATCTCTAGGGCAGTCTTCCTCTTGAGCCAGGTTTTCTTTGATTCTTCTTTACGTCTCTCTAATGTTCCCTTGTTCCCTTCTGATTACTGCCTTCCTTTTCTATAGGGACCCGAGGGGTGGCCTCTGCGTGCCTTCTACACTATGTGACAAGGGAAGGGAGGAACATATGAGGCAGGAAACCCTGCCAGGACTGAGTGCCTTATAAGGTGGGAACTGGCTACAGTGAAAGTCCCTTGGACACTGCACAGATGTTCTTACATGTGACTGACACAAAGAGAAGTGTTGCATTATTCATCTTGGTTACATTTAGAATTATTATTTGCATCCATGAAATGGGTCTTTTTCCTGCAAAGCCTTGCCAGCGCCCTGTTTTTCAGCATGACATTCTTCCAGATTTAAGGCACAGAGACTTGAGACGGACACTGAGAAGAAGCCAGTGAGTAAGTACTGAGGATGTTTTGGTGCCTACTATCCTTCTGTCTATTTATACGACCAGTAATACTGGTGCTATACATTATTTAGAATCTATGGGAGCAGGAATGGTTTACATTCTACACTGAGGATTCTGTGGTGAGTGGAATTGTGAGGTGACTTATGGTGATCTATAAGATACAGTAAGACAGAATTAAATTGAAGATAATAGGTAAAAAAGAGAAAGTATAGCAAAAGGAAAATAAAGAAAAGGGTAGCTAAAACTAGGAAAGAGGTAGATACGGAAAACTCAGGCCCCCCAAATCACATATATTTACTACGGGCAGAACACACATTTGGCTCCAAGCTTTCTAGCAGCCAATACAGAGAGGAAAACACATTTGGTTGAATGAGTCTCACATTCATAATTTAAAAACAGACCAGTTGTGCAAAAGAAACACAATCCTTTTAGGGGTGAAGCCAGAGAAAATAATTCTTTCCCTCATTTGCACAGAAAGGATGCTACATGATGTAATGACCAACGCCATTAACAAAACCCTATGGTTGAATGAGTCTCACATTCATAATTTAAAAACAGACCAGTTGTGCAAAAGAAACACAATGCTTTTAGGGGTGAAGCCAGAGAAAATAATTCTTTCCCTCATTTGCACAGAAAGGATGCTACATGATGTAATGACCAACGCCATTAACAAAACCCTGATAGTAAAATCATCATTGAGTTGTACAGGGCCACTTCTTAAAGTATCCCTCAGTGCTGGAGATGGCACCACCCCAGAATCCACTGGGGAAAAGCAATTCTAAAAGGAGGCAGTACAGTGCAGTGGTTAGACACCTGGACTCTGGAGTTAAGCAGATTTACAAGCAAGCATTGGCTCTACCACTGGAACCTAGGGGCTAACACGCCCAGAGTGGATGTAGGATTAAATGAGACAATGAGTGCAGAACACTTAGTACGATTGCCTGAAACATGCCGGGCAGTCAAGAAAGGCTATTGTTATTGAACTAATGGCATAGATGGACTCAGCTTCCTTTAAGCATTCCTGAACACTGTTTTCTCTTAATGGAGCTTTTGCTGATAAGCATTAGCTGGCCATGCTTTTGGAGCACAATATTCTCTGTGCTTAATAAAGGGCAGAGCCAAGGATTGGAAGAGAGCCAAGAGTGGGGTGAATCTGATATATACCCTTATGGAAATTGAGAAGTCTGGAAAAACACGTGTCTGAATATAAGGCTACCCTGCACAAAACGCAATCTTGGGTCTGTACCAACAAACCAACAAAAGTACAACTGAGGCCACAAAGTCCTTCATCAAATGGTGTGATTGCAATACTTTTAGCGTTAGAAAAGAGATTAGAGTAGGCATTTCCAAATGTTCACCAGAGCCCACCTCTTCACATTTTTTCTCAGTAAGACACTTACAGAGTATTGATTAATGTGTGTTCCTGGTAAAACCTCTAAAATAAGAAAAAAAATTACAATTATGCTTAAGTAACCGGATTCATTGGCTTGTTCCATTGGGATGTGATTCCCAAGTCAATTAGTGTGGGGCACCTGCCAAAGAGGAGCAGCCTAGAAAAGTCGTCTGCTCCTCTCATTTCTCAGAAATCAGAGATATTAAGGCAATTTCTCAAAACAAAACAGCCATCATCACAACAACAATAACGGCAGCCATTCCACCCTCCACTATGACATCTAAAAATGGGAAAATGTATATCTGTATGTTCTTTAAATTAGAAGTGGGAAGGAGCAAAGAGGATCATCTATTCCGTTCAATCAAAGATGGTTTCAAATGAAGAAGTTGCTCCTATAATAGCTCCACTGAAAACTGGTATCTTGTTCATCAAGAGACCGTCCTGATTCTAAGCGAGTGTTGTCTCAGTATTGGGGTCTCCACAAGCATCAGTAGCCAAGATCTTCGAGTTCATGTAGTTTAGCTCATTCTTGTGCACTGAACTCAAGGCCAAGGGTAAATCAATAAAAAGTGCAAATAATCTTAGGTTGGTACAGATTTTCCACATGGCATTTAAAAGTATAATGGGCAAAGACTATTATAGAATAGGTTTCTGGAAATATCTCCCCTATTCGAGATTGCAATTTAGCAAGCATAATATGGCTTTTATTTTGGACAGAATGTCTAATAAACTAATGAGTGTTAATTTGGAGGAGCAGAGGCTTTGCTTCGTAAATGGCAGACAGGTTGCACTCTGGCCTTAATCATGATCACTGAATTTTTGTTTAGCTTGAGCTTTTTAATCAAGTCTATAAGATGAAGGATATTTGATTTAGTTGATACTGTTTTCACGTTTTCCTTGCACATTTTAAAAAGATGTAAATAAATCTGTCTTTGGTTTAAGATTTCCTGGTCATAGTGCTGCTTCAAAATAAAGCCAAAAAACAAACAAAAAAACATGAACGAGAATTAATAAAGGGAGTAAAGGGAGACATAAAAATCTAATTTTCTTTTTTCCAAGATAATGTAACAGGGATAAAAGAATGCTGTGAAATCAATGGTGGCATTGGGACAATAATAAGGAAAGGCAGTACTTAGCTCCTAGTTTCCAGGGAATGCATATTAGACATCACAGGTAAAAACTATTAACATTAACTTTCTGTAGTCACTCCAGGGTGTCATTCAAGTTGCCAATGTGGAAACATTGTCAACTAGCTTGACAAGGCCATAGCCTGGTCAAATTAAATATTGACATATAAAGATCCCAATACCTCTTATTTTTGGTGAGGCACGTCTTGCCTGACACTGGACAGATCTGACTTGTTCTGGCCTTCCATCAACCCAAGCTGGTGTTTGGGATTTACAGCCATACCTGATCAAGGCAGTTGCTGCGTAGATATCTCAGTGCTTGCTGAATACTCTGTGGCAGGGGCTGTCCCGTTCTCTGGACGTGGACTATGAGAGGAACGCCAAAGACAGCCTTGTCTTTGTAATCGGGAACTTTCATCCTCTTCATGAACTTTGGAACTGACCTAGAATTCACATAAACCAGGTCACGCAAGCCCCGTGGGGTGCACTGTGGGGAGAGGCTGTGGAGGCAAGCAAGAGGGAGCCAAGCTTTTGTTGGAATACCCGACAGGCACAGGCACAATTCAACATTCTCTCTAAATTAATCCCATCACATGGTAGTACTATGTGTGACCGCGCCTATGTGTTGTCTCTAACTATTAAACAGTATGATTCACATTAGCAGAATGTATTTGTAGCTCTGTTTTCAAGTGAAGTGGACAACTTTCCAATCTAATTGTGATTGACACATCTCTCAAGTGATGAACACTTAAAGGTCCCTCACAAAACAAAACAAATTTAAAAATTACAAGAGGAAGAAAAAAATCTCATTGGGGTTTGGGGAGAAAGCAAGAGAGAAGATGAACCACATATGTTGCTTAAGTCCTTACTTTTCTAGAGCCAGTTGTACTTCTAAAAGGGAATTTTAACACAGAAGTATACATTGATTTGACCATAGCGCCGCCGCGCTTCCCAAGCGGCGCACTATCCAGTGCGCCACCGGGCCGGCCCCAGTTGTACTTCTAAAAGGGAATTTTAACACAGAAGTATACATTGATTTGACCATTTAATGCATAACCTTCTAAAATATTTCTATAAAAGTACCATTGATTTTTCTATATACATAATACATAACATAGGACAATTACTAACACATTTTACTGTATATTTTTTCAAATCCAAATCCACCAAATCATCTGCTATAGATCCACATTCAAGTTCCAACACATGCTTTTGTCAATTCCTTATTACAAAGGTTAACTGCATATTCTTATTGTTGTTTGCTGGCGAAATCAAAGTAGAAATGTATTTGAAGAATTAAATGCTGTTTGAATGAAACAATGCTCTGTGTGGTGAGCTCTGCATCTGGCCAGAAAATAAAAGTGACAGATGTTTCTTTGCAAACTGCCAGAATTATTTAATGGCAAGTTTATTTTTAATTCCTCTGTTCACAATTAATCACCCTTTACTTGACTCTTTTTTCTTTCTTGGAGCCTGAATGCCTTCCCTGGAAACCGGCTGAGAGTCCACAAATAAAGCAATGCTTCCCGTGGGCTGTGTCGCCCCAGAAGGCAGGAAGCAGGACTGAGCGCCGTGGGTTATCTCCAGGAGATCACCAGGGAAGGCATGAATGGATTCTTCAGATATCAGAAAGTAAACACTGCAGCTTTTGCAATCGCATACTTAGCTCTAGAGTGCAGGACCCCGTCCGTGAGCGTGCTACGCACCATGTCCAGCCGTGCTTGTTGGACATGGAGTGCTTCTCCATGACCGCCGTGAGCCGCAACAGCGAGAAGCGCTGCAGCAGGTTGAGCTGGCCGGCCGTCTGGCTGCTGATGTGGGGCGACATTGGGGACGGCCGAGGCTGGTGCGAGAGCTGGAAGCTGTGCCATCGGAGTCGCCTTGACCAGAAAGACCGTCAGAGAAGCCAGTCATAAAGTGGACTTGTTATCGGGAAACACAGGACATCCCCAATGCCTAAGTAGCTAATCAAAATAGTTTTCAAGCCAAGAAAAATCACAAAACAAATAACAGAAGATGCAAATGTGCACAGTAAACATAAGAAATGATTTTTTCCAAGTGGAATAAATCTGGAAAGAGTTATATGATGTTTCATTCGGATATTCAAATAAGTGATATAAGTTTTGTTTATTTGTTTATTCCCAAATTTGTTCCCAAAGTGTTGAGAGCAGCTGAGACTGTGTGTGTGAGACACACAGAGAGAAAGAGACAGATAGACAGAGAGACAGAGTCTGAGAGACAGAGAGATAGTGAGACAGAGACAGGGAGAAAAAGAGACAGAGAGGCAGGGAGACAGGGAGAGCTCTGAGGTGTCTGGGATCTGGAGAATACTTTCACACTGCCTTCTGTGCCTCTGTGCGCTAACTCTTGTTCATTATTGAGATGGAGCCTGCAGGCGACAGGCGCAGCTGGTGAAACATCAGTGAGCCCCAAGAGACATCACTGCCTCCACCAGAAACCAAGCGGCACACACAGCCGTGCTTCCACTAGTTAGGTCCTCCCAGGGACGTTTTCCTAGGGTGCTTCTGAAATGGGCCTTGTAAATCAGGTTTTATGTACTTTGTAGCCAGCATTTTAAAGCAAAAACAAACTTACAGAGCACACACCTTAGATCTCAGAAATTGCTCATAGTATTAAAAAAAGTTTAAAATTTGGGGTAGAGACATTTTGATTATAATACTGTCGCAAGGTCCTGGGAAGAGCCTCTGCACTGAATTGGGCCTCGATTATCTGTGATTGCCTACATTCAGTGTCTGGCATAATGCTTTGCACATAGGAAGCTCTAAAAAGGTTTTCTTGAATAAAACTAAGATCAAAATAAAGGGTAAACAGTCAGAGAAATAAATGTGAGTTAACATGGGTTCAATCACCTTATCTGTCCAAAAGACTCTTCTGTTCAAATAATTCCTCACCACATGTATCACTCAGAACGGTGTCAGGCATTTAGTAAGGGCTCTATCAATGGTTGTTAAAGAAATAAACAAAGCATAATTACTATGAAATGCATGAAAAATCATTTCACAAAAGCATGCCACCCACCTGTTTGGCCTGGTCAGGGAGGCCCCTACTCCAGAATCCCTCCTTTCTCTGACCCCAGGGACCTCTGATTCATTAAGAGATGTTCCATCTCTTTCCACATCACTGGGGGTTGTCCGACCTTCCGAGACAGAGTTGCCTTCAAAATCCAAGGTGATCAGATTAGGAGATGGAAAGGAGGATAAACCAGATTCCCCAACCAATGTATCATGAGTCTGCAGTTCAGGCAAGACATTTTTGGACCAATCATCCACGACCTCTTGGAGCCCATTGACATGCTGCAGGATGTCATCCAGGTGAGGGAAGAGGTCATCTTTCTCCAAGTCCAGAAGATCTCCCGTGCTGGCATACAAGTGGGAGCCCGGGACGTTGTCATAGATACTGACTCGGCTGGCCCTGTGGCAGGATGCCATGAGCCTGGGCTCCCTGGCACCGGGGTCCTGCTGCCCGCCCAGGGAGATGCCCGCGGCCCTCCAGGTCACCCCATTGCTGCTGTCTGTGGGTGACAGGCTTTCGATAGAAAGTGCTTTTGGGAATGTTCCTGGTTTGTGATCCTTGGGAATATGCACCACCAATTTCTCCTGGGAGTGAAACTCGTGCGTGTGGTTTTGGTCCCCCGCACCCCGCAGTGCTGTCCTTGCCAGCACGTCCAGGTCCTCCAAGTACATGCCCCCACGCTTGTGGGGCTCATGGCACTTCCGTTCCTTCAGGCAAGGAGTGCTCACCCCACTGCTGCTGTTTTCCGACGGGCTGCTCTCGCCACTCGATTTGCTGGAACATGGGAGCCCTTTTTTGCAGGTGGCGGGGGACGAGCTCTGGAGATGTCCATTTGGTATCTGGATGCACGGCATGGCCTTAAAGGACTCAGGCTCCTGTTGCAGCACAGGCCCACTGATCACCAGGCCACCGGTCCGCCCTGTCCCCTTATGCCTTCCGTGGGCTCCTTTCCCTCGGAGAGTCTCCATGCGCTTCAAAAATGATTTGGCCCTGGCTCTGGTGGGTTTCTCATTCTTGGGGTGGAGAGGGTGGCTGAGAAGGTCTCTGGAGGACTGCGGGAGGCTGCTGCTGCCCGGCATGGCATCCAGCACGACCGGACTGTCCACACAGAACTGGCCCGACTGGCTACGGCCGTCACTGCCTCCGCTGCTTTCGCTGTGAAGGGAGCAGACCTCGGGCTCGCTCAGGTCTGTGAGGACACTCTCACTGCTGGTCGTGTTCCTCATCCTAGTGCCTCCTGGGGACCCATTCCTGTCTGGTCCAGAGAGTGGCGTGTGGAGGTCGTCCACGCGAGACCACCTGCGGCTGGTTCTTTGGAAAGTCCATTTGTTACTGATACAAAGATCTTCCTCATCTGAGTCGTCACCCTGCAAGACATCAAGGAACAGGCTCATTTCCAGGGAGACTGGCTGAGATGGGAACTCTCAGGAGTGGGGCACGGGCAGACACGGTAACCCACCTCCTGTCCTCTCTGTCCCCCCATTTGCGAGTGCCTCCGGGGTTTCCTGGGCACCTGTACTCAGTCCTTCCACCCCCTTTCGCTGTCCTGTATGTCCTCCTCCTCCCTGGTGGCCAGAGGACTTCTCAACTTGCCACGCCCTTCTTCCTTTCTGCTTTCACAGGTTTTGCATCCTTCCTTCCTCTCAGTTTTCCCTGACTGATTACAAAGGGGGTGTAATTACCATCTGACTAGACAGTCTAAATATAAAACACCTGCAGTCTCTTTTTCACAAAGAAACTCAACCCTGCCATGAAAGGCACTTACTTTTTCCCCAAAACTTCTTCGCTGAGCCCAGGACCATATTTCCAGCTCCCCCTCTTCTGAACCTCAATGTCAATATATCTCAAAGCAACACTCCTTACCTTAGTCTCCCAAACCTGATCCTTAACAAATATCCCCTGTGTAAGTAACAGCAAAATTATCTACTGAATTCCTATAAGTAGAAATTTGGGAGCCATTCTAGAATCACATTTCAAGAGAGTCCAATCCAGCTGCTCTGCTTGACCAGGCCTCTGGTGTTTAATCAACTCCAAACTGGAAGGCCTTTGGCAGGAGATGCAGCTCCGGGTGGCTGCGGCTGGCCCCTCGGGCTCCCCAGCTGCGCTCTGCTTGACCAGGCCTCTGGTGTTTAATCAACTCCAAACTGGAAGGCCTTTGGCAGGAGACGCAGCTCCGGGTGGCTGCGGCTGGCCCCTCGGGCTCCCCAGCTGCACACAGCCTCACACTCTCCACCTCACGCATTGAACTCATCTGTCCGGTTTGTGCCTGAATTTGCAGCCCCTGGGAGATGAGAGGCTGCGTTCCCCAAGGTGAGAGACGGCCTTGTTTACCTTCACATATCCTTGGGCCCAGCACAGACCCTTGACCTGAAGCGTGGCACTTGCTCTAGAAATGAACCGCATCAGCTCCTTTCTCCTCCTCACCACGCATGTCAGCATCACCCACTCTGAAATGATCTTCAAACCTCTTCCTGCCTTTGTATCTTCACTCTCATTCCTTTAGTCCAGGCCCTGGCTACCTCTCTCTGCATCTATTACAGTAAAAATCTGGCTGGAATCCTTGTCTGCAGCATCTTCTCCATCTAGACTGCTTTCCCCAGTGTTGCCCAAATGAGGTCATGTAATTTCCCCACTTAGAAGCTTCAGCTGAAGAGCCTCTGCTCTCCATGTTTACAGGTAAGCTCATAAAGAGCAGGGCCTGTGTTTTTCTGTTTTATTCATATAAAACGTATTTGTACATATTTGTATCCTCTCCAATCCCAAGCACATAGTAACTGCTTAATATTATTTTGTTAATTGAATTAAGTTAATTTTATTCTAGTTTGGCATCTGGTTCTAAGCTCTGGTTCCAAGCATCAGTGGTACCAGTTAAGAGCTATGTGACAGTGTTCAAGTTACTTACCCTCTCTAAAGTAAGTTTCTATCACTTATAAAAGGAGATTAAAAATAGGTCCTGCTTTATACGTTTGCTGTGGGGATTAAATAAGGTAAGGCACCTAGTAGCCCCTCTTTGAGGAGTATTTATTTGTTATTTTTCAATGTCTGTTCAATTGTTTATCTACCTTTTTACTTATCTATCACCCACCTTAACTCCCCTGAATCTTGCAGTATAACTGGTTTACGAGGAAAGTAAACAGACACAGTTAATACTTGTTGGGAGCTTCCCATTCTTGTTTATTCCTTCAAAAATCTAGATTCTGGGGGCCGGCCCGGTGGCGCACTGGATAAGTGCGCCGCTTGGGAAGCGCGGCGGCGC